TTTGGCAAGCCTGGGAATTTCATAAAAGACCATTTCACCCAAAGCAGTCCAACAGGCCAGCAGAATATTCCTGTTGAAATACAGCATCTCTTTTTGTGCTGTGTTGTTGCAATGCGCTGCTTTATTTGGATGATGGCTTTAAGACATAGCAGACTTGTTGCCCTGCATGGTTGATGAGTAAGGGTTGCATCAGACACAGGCAGATCAATGAATTGATAGATTTTGCTCTAATTTGATGAAATCTGCCACCAAGACTTCAAACATCTCTCTGATCCCAAGTCTGTAGATTGTTTCTGAAAAGAAATATTGTTAATGTTGCATTTTCAAAATCCATATTACAAACCCAGAAAATAAAACTCACTCTAATGTAAAGGACGAGGCAACTGTAAAGCTAAAAAATAAAAATCAAGCAGACACCACCGTGGATGAGTGGGAACATTTTTATTATGTTGCAGTCACTATTGTTGTCATCTCTGCTTCTTCAAAGCAGAATGAGCTCATTAATTAAATCATTAGCTAACACGATAATGAGCACACCTCAACAGTGTTCTTCTTAAACCCACTCGACCCATGCATGCAATTGAATTTAGTGTTAAACAGGCTAAGAAATGACTAATACTAAATAAATAAATAAAACCAATTGAAATACTTTATAAAAAGAAAAGCTAATTACTTCTGTCTGTGGATGCTTCCAGCTTTTTTTCTTCTTCAAGCAGAGTCGATCCATTATTCACTCCCATGGTCTCATCCAGCAGAGAATCAGCACAGGATTTTTCTTGAGTTATTACAGCATGGATGCATAACTTTTCAGTCACCAACAATCCTTTGTTTTCCAGCAGCAGGTACCAACGAACAGCCCAGCGTTCCTCTGTTGAGGGATTGGTGTGGAATGATGTCCAGTATCTCGTATGAATATTAAAATACTGACTCCCCTGCAGCCGTATGCAAAGCAAAGCTGGGTCTGATAACCAAACAAGTCTCTTAGAGGAAGAGTCAAAGTCATTCTTTATTTCTCCATTAGTGTGTGTTCAAATCAACATACAGTTAGTTTACCTACCAAATAACTGCACATATCACCCTGTTAGGGACACCCATGGAAAATGTTTCCTGCCAGACCAGATTCACCCCTTCAAAGTTACAATCGAGCCTTCTTTATACCTGAAAATGGCATTGACCTCTAAAAAAGGGGGAAATAGATACATACACATTTCAATGTATGCATGGGTGACATATTAAAGGAAAAAAAATGAACTAAAGTGCGTTGTTAAGATATTAGGCCACTGCCTACTGCTAGAATAGCTTCTGTACTCTTTGGCATTTGTTTTTCAGGTTTATGGATGAGGGTTAAATGCTATTCCTTCACAGTATAAACATATAAGCTGTTAAACATGTCTACCCAACATTTTGCACTGCTTATTTAGATCTTGTGGCTGCAATTCAATTCAATTCAATTCAATTTTATTTATATAGCGCCAAATCACAACATAAGTCGCCTCAAGGCGCTTCAGAGGCCATATGCTTTACATAACTGTCATCCTGGTGAAAACATTCATGTGTTTATAATGGATGGAGGAATCTCCAAAGAGAGCGTTCCCATCAGGGTAAAAACGTTTAGAATTAAGGTGATCAGTCAGAACAACTGTGTGTGATCTGCAGTGGCACTTTCTTCTAAAAGAACCATTTTCTTAGCAGCTTATCCAGTTCCCAGGGGCTGGAGCCTTTGCCTTCTGTCATGAGGAGAGAGGCTGGGTACATCCAGATACATCCTTTCCTGTCTAACACACACACAGGCAATCATTCATGCTCACATTTATACCCATTATGAATCATTAACAGTAATGACCAACCAAGATTCATTTCAGAAAGATTTTCCTGTTCATTTTTCTTAAATTCTGATTAGTTCCTCTACATATTTTCCCCTGGTTGGTTGGTAACACTTCCTTGCACTGACTTTAAGCCCCACCAGAGGGCCCACTATATAGTTTGAGAACCACTACTGCACTGAAACCTGTACGAACAAACAATTAAAGCTGACTCCCACAGAACAACAGGAGTTCAGATTTTCCCTTAAATTTGTCACCTGCCTGCATTTATGTCTATCTGCATAATTATTTAACATGCACAAGCAGCAATCATGACCAGCGTGTGATTGTATGTGCAGCGTGTGTGTCAGAACACATTGTCTTCTTCAGTCATACACACAAAAAAGTGTGTGAGATGAAGTGATCTGTGCAGAGATATAAGTCTGCTCCCACTAATGAGCGATTTAAGTCCCATAAAATACTGTATGCATACAGTAGAAGTAATAATAATATAATAATACTACCCAATAGTAATAATAGTTTTATTCAAAATACTGAAATATTTACAAATATTTGACAGCATTTATAGAGCATTTCTCTTCTTTTTCAAGTTTTACATTTCAGTTTATACTGTAGTTTTTGGCTTACACGTGTGGGAAGGGGTAGTGGATTGAATACAATATTATACTCAGCATATTTACAGCAAAAGACAAAAAAACAAATTTAAAGAAAAAATAAAGAAACCAAAAAAACTATTAACATGTGCACTGAAGGTGAGGATAAGCAAGTATTTATGTTAATAATGCATTTTAAAGTTTAGCTTACAAACTACACATTTTTGTATTGGAAGAAGGAGGTATAAATGTGAAGTATAGGAGCACAGACAAAAGAAGCACATCATATATATATATATATGTCACATCATATATAGATGTGTGTAGAAACATATGAACATATGGAGAAAATTTGGAGAATTTTTTTTTGGTTTGGATTAAGATAATTTGAAAATATCTACTTTACCTATATATAAAGCTCTTTGAGGCGACTGATTCTGCTGAATTAAATTCATTGGAGGATACGTGAGTTTAATTCAGAAGGGCTCTAATTAGCAAATATATAACAGTTTATTTCAAAAGATGAGCTTTACAAATAAACACAGGGTTAAGTAAAAGTTGCTTACAACCAGAGAACAATCATAATAAATACTTTCATATTTGATTCACGTGTACAAAAAACCCAAACTCTTGTTATAAAACAATGAAAGTGCAGCTACAAATGATTAACACGAGATCAACAATGTCTTTTTACAGGTTTAGCTTCTGTGTGTCTGACTCTGCCATGCGGTTTGAGCTTGTCGGAAATAAGCAGGATCAGATCAGTTGTTCACAGGTAAATCCCACTGTAAGCCAGTGGTTGCCCAAGGAGACATCAGCATTAGCGCGGTGACACGTTGTTAACCTGAATTGATGCAGTCAGGTGGCTCGTGGCTGTAATGTGTCGTGTCTGACATTGAGCTGTTTTGCTCTTATGTAACAAACCTTTCACAATGATTCATTTACAGACAGAAGAAAAA